CACGCACACACACACACACACACACACACACACACACACACACACACACACCCCATACTGGAATAAGCCAGCCGGAAATTAAGCTAAGAGTGGATCTACAGAACAACAGGGCAAAGGAGAGAAAATGTGCAAGCATTCAAATGAACTAGAGTTTGTTGTGCAGAAAAAGGAACATCTACATGTATTTCCTGTTATGTCCCAGCACTTCTCCTGACCGCATCATACCTTAATTCTAACATCACTGAATTAATACAAACTCAGAATTCATGTAACTAAAAATTAATTAGCGTTTAATTACTTCATTCCGATGAGCAGTTTAACCACAAATAACTAGACGTGGCATGAACACCTGACTAATGTATTGAAAGCTCAACCCCCCAAATGCAAAGTTTAGCATCTCTACCAAGAGAGAGAAGGTACAAACTTTAGACAGAATTACGGTAAAGAACCAGGATCACGAGACCTAAAACCAGACATCCTGACTTTCCAGTTACCTGTAAATACTCTCCACTGAATTGAGAGGCTCCCAGCCACTTTCTACATATCAAATCCCATCCATAGGTCATTATGTCTCCATTTCCTGTCATCTACTTTATGGAGCTACTGTGTGTTGGAGACGTTGCCAGGGCAGGAGTCTGCCATGCCCTAACCAGAAGGAGGTTCGTTCCCTCCCAGACGTCCTCAGCGGGGACATGCCTGCTGAGGTCCCCAAGCTCTCACTAACCTCCCATCTAGCCTACGTGTCCAACACAGAACGAAGGGAATCAATCTGTCACAAGAACCAAAACCTAGGACCTGACCCTCAGTGCCCGCAAGCTCTGAGCTGCTCCACCTGAGACATCAGCCACCCAGGGGAGCTTCTGATCATGGCTCAACTCAGCCATCTGTGAAGCTGAAACCTAACAGGTGGAACCCCCAGGAATAAGCTGAGCAGCCATCAAAAGTTTCTAGAACACAAGGTGCTTCAGCCCAGGACTCGGCCAACCTTATGCCCCCAAACCTCTAATTCCATGTCTGACCCTCTCTCTCTTAGACACAACTTACCTTCATGAGCTCAAAAAACTCTGCAGGTGAAGAAAGCACCCTGACGTGAGAGCTGGAGACTCCGAACTCTGGAACCAGGTTTCTGATCCACTGGAAGCGATGCACACCCTCCGGACACAGGCAGCAAGGAGGCGAGATGACATGGGGGACAGCTGGAGACAGCAGAGGAGCCAACAACAGCCATGGTGGCCTGGGGAAAGAGACATACAAAGGGTCACACTTCTCAAATACTTCCTCACAAGTCCCTCTCAGCTCCTGTGGGTGGGGGCGGGCGAACTTCAGATTTCCTAGACCATCCTAGGAGAGCCCCTGTCAAACTCTGTAAAAGAATTTTTCAGCCCCTACAAGTTGAGCAACTGAAGAATTGCCAAAGCCTATGGATAAACCCCAAACTTTACGCTGATTCCAAAAAACTCAAAATTTAGAGCAGCCACAAGTAAACTCAGAAAAGCCTTCGCCTGGTTAATGCTCCCAACGAACCCACCCGCAGAAAGCCGCCAAAGGCTGCCTGCAAGGGCAGGTCTGGTCTCTGGTGAGTACAACCCAGACCCCCGGTTGTCTGACTGATGAGATAAATGGGCTTTTATTCAAGGAAGGATCCAGAAAAAATTAAGTTTTCTCTTTAATACTAGGATACAGAGAGAAAAGCTGGCGCTGGAAGAGGTCACCTCAAGAGGGACCGGCAGTGACGACAACTGCCCCTTCACCCCTGGACACATTCTCCTCAGAGGTCACACTCGGTCTCTGGCTGGTTCCCGTCCACTGAGGCCAAGACCGCAGTAAACAGTCCCCTGCCCGCTGAGCCTCATCTTTGTTCGGATGCCGAGACACCTGCAGGGGCCGGGGGAGGGCAGTGCACACCCAGAGCCCCACACCGACCAGCCCCTCAACTGACTTCCAGCAAAGAGCAGCAGGAAAATCCTTTTCAGCACGTGACCTTCACCACGGCCTCAAGAGGGACTCTAGGGAAAGGACGCTTAAACACCCCAAGGCCTGAAGGGCCACAAATTCCAGGAAGATGATTTCATTCACTTGCCTCCTGATAAAACGCTGAATCTTCCCAGGGTTCCTGAATGTCCCTACACACACGCCAGATGGCCCGCAGCTGTGCTTCCCAGAAAGCCCACCGGGCTGTCACGGCGACTCATTGCCAAGAAAAGTTTAGTCAGCGAGTGGAAGACACCGGGTCTGGACCCTGGGAAGCCAGGGTTCACCATGGGCCTCCGAGCAGAGGTGGGGACCACACTCCCGGGCATCAGCTTGCTACACTTTTCCTCTGGCTTCCGGGTAACAAGCAGCAAATGAAAGGCCTAGACGTGGAAACAAGGGATTGCGGCCTCGATTTCCGCAAAGTGGAGGCCATGCTCCTGCTGTGCTCAAGGCTACCTTCCAGAGGGGAGAGGGAGCGCCTTCAGTCCAACGCAAAAGCATGAGAACAGGAAAGGTGCACAACAATCTATCAACGTGAAGCCGCAAAGGGGGCCTAAAGTCTAATGTTCATTAATTAAACATAGTCTGTTTGAGGAGGAAAACCCCACAGCACTGTAAGGTCAACTGATCTCCCAATCTCACAGCACTTATCGCTCAGACCATATAAAAAGTATCCAGGGTGTCGCCGGCAACCCAGGCCATGCAGTCAGTCCCCACGCGTTCTTCAGATGAGCCAACAGACGCAGAGCCGCTCCCAAAAAGGAAGATGAGGAAACACCTCTTTGGCACACAGCAACCCAGGAGAGGGCAAGAGCCAACCTGGGCCTCAATCCAAGTGGTCATGTGAGCACCGATGGTGTACGGGGGAGGCACGGCCGGCCTGGGCACCACTGCCCACAAACCTGGTGGCCTCACCAGCGTACACACCTGAAATCATCTAAGAACACAAAAGAAAATGCTAAGGCTAATGAAGGAAAGGTCAAAATATACATACGGTGGATGTGCTTCAAGTGACCAAAAAGGGGAGCTGCTGATGCCTGAGCTGCTGGGGAGGCCTCACAACACCGTCCCTCCAAATGGGCTTTGATCGCCCAGTGGGATTCAGACAGGAAGTGCGGGGGCTCCAGGCGAGGAGTGGTGCGAGCAAAGGGAAGAGGCTGGAACTGCCAAAACCCACCAGCGCCAGAAAAACCCAGGAGGGGCTCAACAGGCAGTCCAGAGAATACACACAGCAACTGTATGGAGGTCAGGCCCCGCCACCCAGGAGAGGGGCTCGGCAGGACAGGCTTGGCCTTGGGCCACCGCGGGTAGGCTGCGGGCCTGTCGGGCAGCTCTGCTGGGAAGCTTCAGTCCAAGTCCAGATCAGGGCCTCAGTCCAAGATCTGCTGAGGGCTTTTTTATGTTGCTTCCTGTTTAACCTGTGTACTGACAGGTTTATTTTTGTTAGAGAGAAGAACTGAAAGCCAATTAGGTTTCAGGGATTCAGCGTGGAGGAGACCCAGCCCTCAAGTGGTAACTTCACATTCCAAACAGGAAGGTGCTTAGGAAAAGCGCACAGAGTTTTATAAAGGCCCCACAAGGTCGGCAAAGGTGGGGAGACCACATCCAGACCCCAGACACTCAAAATCTAACTGCAGCACCTGGGCCAGGGCAGAAGCAGCCAGTCTCCGTGGGAGACAGCGCAGGGGCTCACGTTCTCCGTGCATCTCAGCCAGTTCCCCACGGGGGCGAGTTCCCGCTTTCCATGACGGACGCCTGGGAATGTTCTCAGAAAACACTTCTCCCCATGCCAGCCACAGCCCCTGCTGCACAGTAATCCCAGCCTCCAGGGGCCGACCACCTGCACAAGCAATTTCCCCCTCCAGGCAGCTGTCCCAGGTCAAAACCCTAACCCCCAAGAGACAGGAGGAGGCAGGGAGCTGTGGTTACTCTACAAAAAAAGCAGGGCTGTCACACTCACCATTTAGAGAACTAAACAAACACACACACATTTTCCACATCTAGGCCTGCACTCCCCTGAATCATCTCTTTCTAGACAACATCTAGCTCCCATTTCTAGTTATAGGGAGGAGGAAGTGGCAGGGGCTGGGGGGCCAGATAATAAGGTTCTGCTGCCCTCTCACTCCTTTACTCCGAATTATCAGGGAAGTTTGGAGGACAGAGATAGGGCCAGAGCAGGGACGCGCCCTGGTACTCGAACTCAGGCAAGCCTAACTACTTTGCTACAGCCCTCAGCCGGTGGCAGAGGCAGCAACAACAGTGCAAAACAATCCTCAGCCCACAATTCTGACGGTGAAACTGACAGCATCCTCTCCAAAGGGTGGGCTCCAGCCACCACCCACAAAGACACCTGACTCTGGGGAAAGGTTCAGCCAGGTGATTTAGGGCTTCCTGTGAAATTTGCAAACAAATTCCCTGAGCTGGAGAGTGGGCTGGGCCTAAGTGCTGAGGACCCCTGACCTGGGGCCACTCCCTCCACCTGGAGAGGGGCCTGGGGGAATGGGGTGAGAGGATGGGGGGGGGGGTGACACCAGGAGAACACAGTGAGTATGGAGGGGGAGGGCAGTGGGGAAGAAAGGGAAGTTTCTTCCCAGCATCTCTAAAAGGAATCCATATCTGGACTGCCTTGACCAAGAACAGCATGCAGTAACACTCTTGTCCGTGGTCCGGGGGCCACCATTAAAGCAGGGACAGCAGAAGCCTGCCCTAGACAGGATGATGCACCCACCCGACTCATGAGAGGCACAGGACGGCAGCGGGACTTGAGTTCAGAGTAGCCAGCCAAACCGAAAGAGCGAGAGCAGAACGGCTGCTGAGAAGCCGCGAACACAGCTATGTGCAAGGGAAGCTTCAGGAAAACGGGAGAAGGCACTTCTCCTTTGTGTGCGGAGACAGGAGTCTTCCATTCCACCAAACATTCTGAAGCTGCAAGTGCTCCATGGAAAAATACTGCCACACCTTGCATTCTCCGTTCATCAGGATGCACAACAGCGCGCCTGGAGGTCCAACCGAGCTCTCACAGGGGCAGTGGAGGTGCTACTAAGGAAAGGCAACACCAGAGAACACCTGGGTCTGCACTTCACGTCCACCAGGCCCCGCACGGCTCTCACGGCTTCAGAGGACACAGGTGCCCCCCCCGGGGCCACAGTGGTGTCACCCACCCTTTGGGACACGAGGAAGCAGGCCCACCTCCTAGCGTCTTTTCAGAACAGGGTCTGCAGGGCTTTGAAGGAAGAAAACGGTGATGCCGGAGGACTATCTCCTACACTAACCACAAATCCACCGTAGACGGCACAGGGCACTAGTTAAGTGTCCTGACTCAGGGTCATGGTCTAAAGGTCCACGAGCTCTCCAGGGACTATAAGGTTCGTGGTACACACTCTGTGGTTTGTATCCCACCCAAATCTGTACAAAACGACGAAAAAAGAAAGAAGTTTTTAAAAGAAACTGAGCTCTCCAGATTGCAATATTTTCAGAAACTACTTTTTAAGAAAAACCCACCCTCCCCCCGTCACACACATTTAAACGTAAAGAGGTGAGGTGATGAGAAAAGACCAAGTCATAACACTTCCTGAAAAAGGCTCGAAAAACTACACGAAAGGACGAAACTTCCTGCAGCCCCAGCAGCAGGCAGCCCTTCCTGACTAACGCAAGACCTAAACCCAAGTAAGGGAAATGAGTGTGAATTCCCATAGGTCACAGAAGACCAACGGCCGCTCCCTCAAGGCCGGCACGAGGCCGGGGCTGCCAGCATGTGGCAACACGCTGACTCTCCTCTTGGCTTGTCCAAAAGAAAGTCGATTACATCGAGGGGCTAGAAACCTAACATATAACCCACAACACACCTCCGTAGACAAAGGCACCAGGCATAGCCAAGTGCCTGCCAAGAACCACTCACACGTTCTACTAATCCAAACTGCTGCAACCAGCCTGACCTCCTGGCACTGAAAACGACTCGTTTACATTACTCGGATCACATGTTTACAAGGGAATTATCTATCAGACCGCTTCAATCCCAGGCTAGTTTCTATCTACGAGCATACAGCTGACTGACCAGCCTAATTCAGCAGCAGCAGCAATGTGCTCAGAGGGTACTCAGGTTAATATGAACCTAATAAAGCTACAATTTACAAGTCAGTCAGCTGCAAATCTTATTTCAATTCTCTGCAAGATCGAATTTTAATTATTTGGGGAAATCATGCTTTGATTCTAAATATCCCCCCTCCCACCCATTCTACTGCTATAATACAAGAGGTGGCGCTACTGAACTCTAATGAATAAGGAGGACTGGGTCCCAGCATCAGAAAACTCAGAGAAAAAGTAATTTCTGGAAATCTGGTGGTCCCTCAGAGTAGAAACCACTAAGTTGAATAAGAGTATGTTGAGCTGGCATTACAAGGTAAGGAAACCTAATAAAAAGAACAGTTTGCTGGTTATGTTTCCCTCTTACACTCAGGAAAGTTAGGACACCCCACCACCACCACCACCACCACACACACACACACACACATATACACACACACGTACACACAAATACACACACACATACACACACCTAGAATAAAGAAAATAGAACTTGGGTTTCAAAAATAAAGACTTTTCTGCACACATGGCTCAAATTGAAAATAGTTTAAAAAAAAAGAAAAAGGAGACCACAGAGAAAATATTTCCTTGTATGGCAGCAAACTCAGTTAGGAACTAACGCCCTCTTGACACATTTTCCACGAGGTCTCATACTCCAAATAACAAGTCAATTCTGTGTAGTCTGATGACTCCAAGAAACTACCTGAAGCTTCTGTATTCCTCGCCTGAGCGCTGGACCCGCCCTTCACCTGAACAGTGAGCGCCTTCACTTGGACCCACCTGGATACTAATGGACATGCCCCGAACTCACCTTATCGTCATCCCCCAAACCTGGTCCTCTTTCTCGCTCCCTGTTTTAGTGAAGCATGCCACCATCCATGTGGTCACCCAAGTCAGAAACATGAGCTACCTCCTCAGCACCCCCCTACACACCCCCACCAGAGCTGATTCCAGTCCAGCCCTCTCTTCTCTTCCCACTGTCCATGACTTCATACAAGCCCCACCCCCTCAGGCCTAGACCGCTGCTGCCACCATCAACCTACATCACTCACTATCCTTCCTTGAACACTGGCTCCCCACTTCCTCACCTAGCCTACTCCTACACGCCTCCAAAACACAGCTCCAAGATCATCACCGCCAGGGAGCCTTCTGTGACTTCCAGGTGTGCCTTAGTGCTGCCATGACCTTTCCTACCTTACTTTACTATTGTCTGTTTATGGGTCTGAGCACCATGAAGGTGGGACTATGTATGTTTCCTTGGTACCTAGCACAGCACAGCAGTGCTCTATACACGCATGCTGAATAAGTGAATGAATCCAGCTGTCCATGGTAATGAGTCAGATGCCTGCTTAAGAAAAAACAGCAGTATTTCCAAATCACTAATTAGAAGTAATTTTTTTAAACTGATTAATTAATTTATGGCTGCTTTGGGTCTTTGTTGCTGCACGCGGGCTTTCTCTAGGTGCAGTGAGCGGGGGCGGGGGCTACTCTTCGTTGCGGTGCATGGGAGTCTCATTGCCGTGGCTTCCCTTGTTGCAGCATGGGCTCTAGGTGCGCGGGCTCAGCAGTTGTGGCTCATGGGCTCCAGAGCGCAGGCTCAGTAGCTGTGGCGCACGGGTTTAGGTGCCCCGCGGCATGTGGGACCTTCCCGGACCAGGGCTTGAACCCGTGTCCCCTGCATTGGCAGGCAGATACTTAACCACTGCTCCACCGGGGAAGCCCCTAGAAGTAATTTTAAATAGAGCTCTCTGTCACTATGGCTGTCTCTATAACTGAAAGGAAACCACTGCAGTAAAGAACTGCTCCCTCTCACCACTCCCCTTGCTAGTCACGAGGATTCACCAGGCACTCCAACAGTTGAGTCAGACTGGCAAGCTAAAATCTAAAATAAGTTCATGGCTACACAGAACTATTATCAATGAATCAATGATCAGAGTTACAAGAAACCACATCATTCGGGGAATGAGGAATTGGTTGGTGCAACTGAACAATAGAGAAGAAACGAAAGTCAGCAGCCACTGGAGGTGAGTGGCCATACAGACATGAGTAACCCCAAACAGCCAGGCCACAGAGAAGCAGAAAAAATCTGCAAACCGAATAAGGCAAAGAAAGGGTCAGAACCCCACAGTACTGTAGTAATACTGCTCAAAACATTTATCCTCCGTCCTAGCATAGGCATCACCTCCAAGGATTAAAAGACGCAAATTTCTGACATTTGTGTTTCTATGTCTGTGATTTAACGGAGTTCCTGGTTTAATTTTTGACTCAGAGCCTTAACCAACTTAATCAATTAGAAATATGGAGCCACAAGTCCTGCATCCACTAATGCTATTTACAAAAAAGACTTAAGAAGTCAATGTAGACTATCCCCACGGCCACACTGCCCTCCCCCCCACAGAAAAACACTCAAGAGAAATGTCTTTCTTAAAAGAATTTGTGGCGATTGCCCCAACAGCCTTTAGTAATCAACTCCAACGTTAAACAATGATTAACCATGAAGTGCTTTTCTGTATAGTTTAAATACATACCAGGGAAATGACAAAATGGCCAAAACATCTTGTCCTTGAGAACATTTTTTGAAACTTTAAACCAAATTTCTCAGTGGTTTGATACCAGGACGTAGAAGTCATCTGACTTCACTACCCGCTGGAATAAACAGGTCTTTGCTAAGCACCAATTACAGAGAACAGAGGCCACCTCTTCTATACCCCACTCCCACCGGGTTCACTGATGTGAAACTTAAAGCCGTTCTGATCAGTAAGCTTCCAAGAGTTCCGTCCTGGGCTGATTCTATCACAAAAAGTTCCCCTAAGTGAAACCTGAATTTTTGCTGAAAATCTTCCAAAGTAACCCAATAAGAAGCAAGTTCCTTTCCATACCTAGAATCAGCACACATGACTGGACCACAGATCTCTCTACCAAAGACCAGAAGGTCACATCTCACCCTAGTAGCAGATAAAAATCTAAGGCACAATTGTACTCTGCAAAAAGACGCAGTTCCAAGATTTCTTTTTTTTTTAAGATCTTTTTTCTTAAGAAACAAGTGTAAGGCTCGAGTCTCTCCAACAAGAAAACTAATTGCACATGTCTTTTTTTTTTTTTTTTTTTTTTTTTTTTTTTTTTAGTATTAGCAACAGCAGCAGGCCTCTTAGGTCAGCGTGTACTTGGCAAATGTTTACTTACGAACAGCTTCAAAGCCTACTTCACTATTTCCATAACTCCCTTCAGTACTTTTCCAGAACACAGGCCCTTTGCAAAGGGTAAAAGGGGTTTCAAGTGGTTCCTCTTCCCTGGCCTGAGGGTTCCTGACTCAGGATTGCTTCACAGCCCTCTCTGGCAGGATGTGAGAAATGCTGCAGGCACAGAATCCCAGCAGGGCTGATTCACTCCCGTCAAGTCACCTCGCAGCTAGGATTACTTAAGGAAAAGACCCCTCCGGACCCAAACAGTGTCTCTCGAGAAGACTCTCCAACACACACACCCCGGGGCCCAAAGCAACGCACGAACTCATCCCCCGCCCTGGGTGTGCACACACAGCCCCTTCGCTCCAGCGTACGAGGACGGAGGACTGAGGCCGGGCTCGCCCCACACAGCCCCGGGCCGACCCGACCGACCTCGGGCGGGGTCCCCCTCCCCGGGAAGGCCGGTGGCGAGGCGGGACTGCGGGGGCCGGGCGGGCCCGCGTGGGGGGCACGGAGAGCTCACCGCGACGCCGGGAGCGCGGAATGAGGGTCGGGGCCGGGCGCGCCCTCAGCCCCACCGCTCTCTCACCTCCTGCGCCGGCGGTCCCGGTTCCTGCCGAGTCGGTCGGACAGGCGCCCCAGGAGAGCGGCCAGCCCGGGGCGGCCAGGCAGGAGGCCCAGCAGCCGCCTCCAGAACACCGGCCCCGCCGCCGCCGCCGCCGCCGCCGCCATGGAGACTCGCCGCTTCCGCTTCCGGCGCGCGAGAACTTTATTGACAACCGCGCGCGCGGACACGGGCGGCGCGCGGGAGCCTCGAGGGGAGGCGGACCCACCCCGCAGCCTCCGTTTCCCGCCAGGGGGGCGCAGGTGTGCTGCGCGCAGGGGCCAGGCCGTGGAGGAGCAGGGCGCAGGCACCAGCATCCCCTGACTCGGTCTCGATACCGGATGGGGGTGGAGAGTGAGGGGCATCACCTGTCAGACCCCACGACCAAGTTCAGGCTGGACCTGACAGGCCGAGCCCCTGCTCCAAGGTGTTAGCTAAGATGTACAGAAGTGGGTGACCGTTGACTCACCCGGGCGCCCTGAGAACGGAAAATCCCCACCAGACCCAGGAGGAACCATCTTTCACCTTGTCAGCCCCGGGCCTGCAGCTCCAGGGCACAGAGCAGCTCACCCAGTCTAGGTGCAGTAAAGACCCCTCCATCCTCCCCATGCGCCCACATGCATACACACGCTGTAACGCGCCCCTGGGAACTACGGCTCCATGGCCAAAGAGGCTGAAGGAGCTCATCCCTACAGCCAAGAACACTTTTTTGTAGCTGATTTTAAAAAGGTGACGGATGACTCTCATCTGTATCATGTGGTTCCTTGGCAGGATCCACATAGGCTGGGACTTGGAAACTGGAAAAGCTGTAGGAGATAATCATACCCTACTTATGGCGGGGAGGGGAGGTGTTGTGTGGTTAAAAGGATATGGACACACAGGATACAAAACATTCCGAATTCTGCTTTCAACAAATTACCCGAGGAAATGAATTATACATTCCCTACAAGAATGTTCATCTTGGGCTTCCCCGGTGGCGCAGTGGTTGAGAGTCTGCCTGCCGATGCAGGGCACACGGGTTCGTGCCCCGGTCCAGGAAGATCCCACATCCCGCGGAGCGGATGGGCCCGTGACCCATGGCCGCTGAGCCTGCGCTCCGCAACGGGAGAGGCCACAACAGTGAGAGGCCCGCGTAACACACACACACACACAAAGAATGGTTAATGAAATTAAGAGTAAAATCCACATTTCAAAGAGTAGTATAGAGCTTTCCCAATTTTGTTAAAAATTTGAGAGTGTGGGTACAGACAGACTGAAACTAAATACACCAAAATGTTAACATTGGTTATTTGGTGCTATTTAAGAGTTTCCAAATCGTTTACAATCAGAGAGTACTTCAGATTTTAATTTTTCCTTTAAGTTCAGATAGCTTTACAAATACAGGGCGAAATTTGATTCAACTCTTCCAAGTTAGAAGTGGTGAATCATCAAATTGCCTAATTTCCAGGAACTAGAATGAAACTATCCCTTGCTTGCTTCCACTTTTGCACCATGCCTGGCACAGGGTAGTTGCAAGGTCAAGGTGCTGAATGGCTGCACCATGGTGCTGGGCAATGAGTACCACGTGGACCACAGGAGCATCCTAACCATCCTGAAAAGAGCTGGCAGCTTCTTTTCGCAATGTGATGCTTTGCTGGGTGAGGTATTGAGACAAACAGCCATTGTACCATGCCACTGGGAATTTCTGATCTAAAGTAAACTATAGTAGCACACAGAGATATTAACAGTACCGTAAGTTAAACTAAGGAGTATTTACATTAAGTATAAACAGCAGACAATGACCCCAGTCCTTTCTGAAGCCACACACCGAGAGCCTCTGGCCTTCCTGGCTACTTTGAAACAGTCCGAGCTACAACCAGAGTGAGGGAACTATGACTTTGCCCTACAACACACACATTTAGAGTTGCAAAAATTTTAAATAATGGTTTTCAGGGATTGAGCAATATTTTAGACTGTTACATTTTTACATGATGACAGCACACAAACACTGTTTCCTCCAAGAAGTCTCATCTGGACTAGTTAGGGAGAATAAGTCATGCTCAGCTAACACAGGTGGCCCAGAAAGTCTGCCTGGGGACACCCCCAAGCCGCTTGGAGAAGAGGCAGTCTGGGCAGACGCGACGACAGCTGCTGCGGGTTCTCAAGTCACACCTTGATGACCCCAGATGAGAAAGCATCTGTCCTCTGAAACCCCTCGGTGGCTCGGAAGCCCATCCGCTGAGTCTCCCTCATCCTCCTGTCTGCACCCACTGCCTTCTCGTTAGCCTGCTTGCTTCTTCCCAAACAGGAGGTGCCAGGGTGAGAATGACAGGGTCGATGGACCGATGACCGAGATCATGTCTTCCCAAACGGAAAAGGAAACCCATTCATGAAAAGGAGAGTTGACGTCAGGGAGTGGTGGGCTGCTGCCCCTGATAGCGGGGCTGCTCTCCCAGGCAGGAAACACCAGGAAATCCTGAGCCAAGGGCCCGTGCCTCACTGTCTGTGATTCACTCCCTGGACCGAAAATCATGCCAGTGTAAGAGGAAGGCCCTTCCTTCCAGAACTTGCTTTGTGAGCGAGGGTCTCTCCCAAGCACAGGGCTACTGCAAATCCAGGAGGGAGGAAGGGGCTGGCCAGCCCATCTCCTGCCTTGGTGATGAGAAACTCTCCTAGGTTAGTTTGACCTGGGGGCTGATGGGCTGCCTCTGAGGAGCGCACTCTTGTTTTGTAGGGAATGCAGCCTAGGTACTAAGGATGGCATGAAACCAGCCTTGGGGCCACAGCCTGCCTCCCCCTCCATTCTCCTACTCCGTCACCGCCCCGCCTCACCAGCCTGGCCTTTTTATCACCCTTCAAACTCCCCACACACATTGCTGCCCTAGGATCTCTGTGTTAGTTGTTCTGTCTGCTTACAATGTCCTCCACCACTGCCCCCCACCCCCCCATCCTTCGGAGCTCTTTCTAAAGCTCTCCCTCCCCTAGAAAGGCCCTCCTGGCCCCATAACAGGATTTTATTTTCTTTCTATTAAGAACTGTGATCTAATCTTATTCATTGGTTGATTGCCGTGTCTTTTATCTTCCTGCCCCCCCCCCCAAATCTGAGGCCTTAGAGCACTGAGGCACGAGCACCCAGAAGAGGACCTGGCACCAGAAGCCGACTCATTCATGCTGGTTTGATAAATGCATGCATGGCAGGAGGTGTGAGCTCTGGAGCCTCCCGGCTGCAGGAGGGAACCAGCCAGCTTGTGCTTTTCCGCCAAGGGTGGGGCGATGGTGGTTTGGCCTCCTGGGATTTTACTGACCTGCTGCCACAGATCACTTTGCAAATGTGGCAGCTCACAGAGCCCTCGGTCTCCCCTCAGGCCACCAGCCCTTTTCCTGCCTTCATGCTCCCTGGGATATGCTCTCCCCACTGAGCTGTTACCCTGATCTTTTCCAGCCCTTGATACTCTTCATTCCCAAAACTAAGACCTGACCCCAGTCCTCCCTGGCATGAGACAGGCTTCTGCTCCCCCAGAGCAGAGATTGCCAAATGTTTTCTTAAAAGGCTCAGTGGTAAATATTTCACACGTTGGGGGCCAGTCTCAGTCTCAAGTCTGGTGCAAAAGCCACAAGCAGTAGAAATGAGTGTGGTTGTGTTTTCAATAAAACTTTATTTACAAAAGCATCCTGCCGGCCCTGCACCATAGTTTGCCAATGTCTGTTTCAGAAAATGGCTTTTCCCTGGGCTGCAGCAGTGGACCTGGCATGGGCCCCACTGGGCTTGTATGGCCCTAAAACAGGGAGAGATGAGGTCTTCTGGCACCAGGGACCTGAGGAAGTTGGAGGTGCGGGTTGTGAAGAACAAATTGTCCAAGCACTGAGTTCAAACCAGCAACCTTGCTGGTAGGGGTGGAGAAGCGGTCAAGGTTCTTGCATTTGTCATTTAAACTTTTCAGTGTCAAAAATCTTGTCATCTGCAAAACAAAATACCTATTGCTCAATGGCTCTCTTGCCACAAAGAGGCCCAGGATAATCTGGCATTTCATCAGCAAGAAGTCAGAGCCCAAATTTCTGGAAATGCCTCCTGGGCAGAGCAAGCCAGTTTGCTTCTCTGTCCCGGCGAGAGATAAATGCAGCTCTCAGCTTCAGGGGAATTTCAGCCTCTTGTGGTGTGGCAGGCAGCCAGCGCCACCCCAACCAGGAGCTGCAGGCCTCCTTGTGATCCAGCAGCCCAGCCCTTGGGGAGACACTGCGGCCCGTGGCCAGTTATGTCCCAGGGAATCCCAGGCTCCCCGGGAGCCACATGGGTGGTGGAGGTGAGCTGCTGGGGGGGCTTCTTGGCAAAACCCCACCCTGCCCCACCTTCCTCTGCTTCTCCCTGCCCAGCCCTCACAGTGCTTTGAAGCAAGAGGCTAGGTGTGCCCCAGGACTGGCACCGGAGTCTCCAGCAGGACAAGTCTCCTTGTTGAGATGAGGCCAAATCAGACCAGGCCCCAGCAGGTGGGAGAAGAGGCTCCGGACTCCCCGGCTCGGGCTTGATTTATTTCCAGCCTCCTAGAAGTTAGGAAAGAGACTCAAAGGAAATCCCCCAAAGTCAGTCGTCCTCCTTGCCCCTTAGCCTAGAGAGGTGGGAAGACAGAAGCCAGGTAGAGTTGCCACATCCATGCCTGCAGCTCCTGGCAGGAAGGGGAGTGGGGGGAGGGCGGTCACCCTGGGTGGTGGGCTATGCTGAGCTGGAGAGCCCAGGTCCCATCTAGAGGGCCCACCAGACCTGCCAGATTGTTCTCCAAAAGCCCCCAATTCAAATATGGATGTGAAATTGCCAGATTTTTAAATGTTGTCTCAAAAATGTTAAATTCTCTACAGGTCAACCAATGCATCTGTGGGCTTCATTCAGCCTGTAGCTCACCACTTGACAGGCAACTTTTGATCTGTAAAAAAAAAAAAAAAAAAAAAAAAAAAACCCCAGATACCACAGGAGGAAGGGTAATTGCAGAAGGTCACAGTTCATCTGTACCTTTTTTGCCTTTTGAATGGTGAACCATGAGGCTGTCCTGCCTGTTCGCGAAACATCTTTTCGCTTTACAAAGTTCCAGAAGTTAGAGGTTGCGCCTGACCCACCTCCCACGGTAGAATGGAGTAGAATATTCCATCTTCTCCGCTCGTAGCTGCCACAGGTTGAGCTCGGAAGCTGGGGACT